CATTGCATTTAGCTTGAGTGATTTTTTTTAACTGGGTGAAACAAGAGAAAATGAAACAAAAATCACTCTCTGTGTGGCAGCTTACATGGCAGCAGATACGTTATCTCCTACCCTTACAAGATCATGGTCTTAATGTATTGTGTTTCAGGGGTCTGACAGAGTTCTGTTTTGCTTTTTACCTTTTAAGAATGACCTTAAGACAACCAGCAACTCCAGCAGTCTCATGCTTGGTACTCTTCTTTGGCGTATGAACCAGACTACTACTGCTCCCACTTAAATAAAAAAATCCAACAAATCACTAACCAACCAACCCACCCCCTGCCCCCAAACTCAGAAGAGAAGCAACACATCAGTGCTTTTGCAGCATCTGAATAATTATGTTGTTTTCCCAGACTGAGAAAGCAAGCCATTGGTTTACTATCTAAAGAAGATTAATATGTGCTGTGTTTCCTAAGCTTAGAACTCCTTTACGTATACCATGTCTTTCTTGGGTACATTTGTACGGTTGAAGCCACTGGAGGAGATTTCTGTTGACTTCACTGATCACTGGACAACAGACTTCTGAAAGCTTTTCTATCCGTTTTAAAAATCAAAATCCTAGGTTTAAAAGAATTGGTAGTGCAGCTTTAGCAGGAACATTTTAAGAAAAAGCTCAACCATCCACTGCCTGTGTTTCTCTTGGGTCATGGAAAAAGCAAGGTTAATGCAGCTCATCTTGCAAGGAAGAAGGTTGTAGTGACTCAGGTTATGCACGATTGCTTATTCAGCTGTGATAACTTGATTAGGAGTCCAACTACCAAGCTTTTGTCATGAAATTCACCTTTTCAGAGGACTCACTCCCAAATAAAATCATTTGCAGAGAGAATTCAGTATGGACCCAAACCTGAATTTTTTGACAGCTTGGATATTTGCATTAACAAATCTTCTTCACAGTTTGGGTGTATATAGTTCAGGTTTTCAGATTATATCTGAACTCTATTTTCTGGAGTCAGGCTGAAAGGAAAAGACCGCAAGCATTTCCTATGAATGTTTTACTCAGGTTTGTTCTCCCAGCTGTGTGAGGTGATGGGAGCTCTAATAGTTTATATGGTGATTTCTGTAAGGAAAAGCACATAGAAAAGAGTCAAAGGGAAGACAGCAAATTTCAAAGAGTTGGTTTTGCTGTGGTTTTTTTGTCCTTTTTTTTTTTTTTTTTCATTTTACTCTGAAGTTGAAAATTGTCCCATATGGCTGAACTACTCACATCTTCCCCCACTAGAAAGCAGATTCTTGTGGAGTGAAAATTGGATTCAGAACCTGAAGTATGAAATTCAGGTTTTTTATACATATTTCAGAACTCAGATTTGCATATCTTTGTAGCAGAAATAGTCATTTGACTGAATTTCTCATCAGAAAGTAGAGCTTTAGCAACTCAGTCATCCCACTGCAAATGACAACTTTCTGCAAAAAAGCCTCACCACATTCCACAATTCTTATACACAATTACTACTACTAGCCAGTTTTAATCCTTTGCCTCTTACTGATGTCTGTGTTTTTTACTTCTAAAGCCCAATATAAACACATGAAAGAATGAAGCGTGGAATCTGATTTGAGAAGCAAAATGTAAACAATGTTTAAAAACCCATACAGTTTCAGGGGTGATTTTCTTCCCCATAACTCCCAACCACAGAGTTCACAATGACTTGGGTCATCCAGATGTAGGACTGTACAGTTGTGTACTGGGACATACAAAAGCCCAGAGAATTGTACCATCAAACTTGTACAGCTGTAGAGATTCAGATTTACCCAGAACGAAATCCACACAATTTTATTTTAATTCCAAAGGTTTATTTTGCAATCACTGTGCATGGACATAGTTGATCACACACATGTAACCCCATTGCAGTACTCATACAAACACCATCTCGCAGTACCTCATCCCAGTGTCACAGACAGGAAAAGAGAACGTGGCACCACACAACACACACCGACAAACACGCGGGCTGTAGACATTTTGATACATTCAACAAGAAAAAACAAATGAAAAATTGCTGATATTTTCCATTTTGTCTTCTCATTGCTGGAGAAATTATAGCAGCATAACAACGGAAAAAAAACATTATGAACAACTTGAAGAACACCACAGAACTCTTGTTAGGGTCAGAGATAACAAAGTTAATGCAGTACCGGCACATCTGAAGTTTCCTCAGAAATTTCCACAACCCAAGGCAGAGGAAACTGCAGCTACCTTCCCCAGCCAGAGAGCAAAGCACCTGCACACATACATGTCTGGAGACTGGAATTGCTTTTAACCTGTACCTGCTGGCGAGATGTGCGACCACTGTCCCATGGCGTATGCAGCCTGTTGCAGCTCTCTGCAGCCACACAGAAAGTCCCTATCTCAGGCAGGGCAAGAGATGGGCAAATGGGGTTGCAGAAGAGAAAAACACAACCCCTATTTTTAATGCTGTACCAGCCCCTGAGCTGTGATAGGAAATTCTGTTGAGCTATCTCTTTACCAACACATTCAGAGCTGGGATCCAAATGCAACTGTAAGCAACTGCAAGATGATTTTATATGGTTGGAGAAATCCAATACAACTGCTGTATCAGGCCAACATGATATTTTATTGAAGTTATCCAATGGCAACATTATCAACAAGTAATGCCTGTAATATACACTAATGAACAGCACTAAGTGCTAGATTCTCCTAATTCTAATATCAATGGTTTCCAATCTTGCCATCTTGCCATCATACCATGTTAGTAGCCCTAACTGCAAAGTAAGGTAATTCGCAATCTGAATGAGAGGGTCTGAATTTGCCAGTCTCGCCCTGCAGGCAAATGGAAGAATTTCTTTCTGAAATTGTCTGGAGGGGTGGCATTCAAACTCATTTTTTACATAGCCATTCACTCAGCAAGCCTCATGTAACACCTGGAATAGGCAACTAAAGCCACTGAAAGATGACATTCATTTGCAATATATATAGTTTTACAAGTGACTATTAGAAAACATTTTTCTTCAGTTTTCTCCACAGTACTTGATTAGCTTCTATCTATGACTATCAGTTGGTACAATCCTGATTCACTCTGTTTCTTAACAGTAGCACCAATATTATAAATCTGATTTTTCATTCTTAATTCTCTTGCTCATATATATTTTCATTTTCTTACTTGCTGCTGTACCTCTATTTCAGTAAAAGAGCATAAATTCTGGCATAAAGGCTCAGATCAATTTTTCTTCTATTACCCAGTAGTGAAATTACCCTATTAGGTCAGCTTACAATGTGTGCAGTAAATATGCCACATATAAATAAATCACAGTATAAAACCATATACATAATTTAGTAGTAATAGCTGAACATTGGATCTCTGATTTTAATTTACAGTGTGCTTTGCAGTGTAGAACAAAACAATAAACAGCTTATCACCCAGAGAAATCTGAAAAGAAAAGAAATATTGGAAACCAATTCTCTACTGTATATATATATATGAATATAAATATTATTCCATATTTCTATATTTGGAACGCATATATTCATATGGGTATGTATGTTTACATATATATGAATATATATATAATTTTTTTACCCAAAATGCTCCAAATGTATGAACTTCTGGATTAGTAAATATAACTGGTGGAAGCAGCTGGCTCTACCTACATGCTGCACTTGCTTATTGTGCCTTACTCCTAACTGAGAACAGCTCTAAGACTTACCGACTTTTCATACAAACAGCTAGCTATTTAATTTAAAAGTGCTTATTACCCCCTCAGCATCCAGGTACCCAGAAGGATCAAGAAAAATTATTATCAAAATTAAAAACTGGAAAGATGGTGTTCATAAAAAAAAAACATGGAAGGAAATGGATCACCTAACCACCGATAGCCTGCTGAGTCTTTCTATCATGAAATTAAGCAGACTCTGAGCACAGTTTTACAAAGCACTAAATAGCTTAGAATCTTATAAATGTGAACTAGGCCTGGACCTTCAGAATCTAATGCCCAAACGAAAATTAGCGTTTAAGTAAGAAACAGGCACCCAAATTCCTCTGGAGAGATCTGAGTGTTAAGAAATGACACTTATTGGGTCTCAGGGAAATTTTGGCTTCTAAGACTTGTTTTAAAACGAACTTGAATAGAAAAGCTAAAAAACAATCAAAAAACCCCAACCCTTGGAACACTTGGTTTTGATTTTTTTTTAACGCTATACCCTACATGTACCATCAGAGTTCTCTCACTTCATCATGAGGTTTAGTTTTCTTTTCATATTAAAGCTTCTATAGTTATTCTTAAAAAATAAAAATAAAAAAATATATATCCACAGAAATGCAGTGCCAGCAAACCCAGAAACTAGAGGCAACTCTATTACTAGTCCATCAGGATTTGCAAGAGAGACAAGGAAACCCATCAGGACCCGGAGCTCCCCATTTTTGGGAAGGTTCAGACAAAGCAACTGAAAGTCAAAATAGCTGGAAAAGGCACAGGAGGTCAGGGGAATGTCATGAGTCTCCTTTCAAGTCCTCAGTTTTCATGTGCAACTTGATTGACATATTGGGAAACGTGGAGAAATGCGAGCCGGTACTATTTCAGGTTCTCTTGCATTGATTTCTAGTAGACCCCTGGTGGGATCTCTTCCCCTTTCCCTGCCTCCCCCCTGCTCCTCTTCCTCCCCCCCCGATGAGGGCACGCACAGCTCCCCCTGCGTGAACAGGGGTGCTCAGCCAGCTGCTGCCCACAACCCCGGCTCCCCACTGCTACTTCACTTCCCCAAGTCTATACTCCCCACCCCACTCACCACAACAGGTGCCCAAGAAAACTCTGGCTGTTTCATTTAATCACCCGTCTCTCATTTCCTCAACCATCACCCTAACTGCTAACAAATTCACCCATACTCACTTAAAACATACTCAAGGAGGAAGCAGTTCATGCTGTCACACAAAAAATACAAGTCGTGCACTGCTATAAACGTACTGAATGAAAAGAGCATGTTTTCCCCCATCCTCCGAAAGAGCATCCTGGGTTTACACAATCCCTTTTTTGCTTTCCCCATTGTTCACCGAAGATGTGAAGTTTGATTCTTGTTCTGCACTTGATTTCCTCTCCTCTGGGTAGTGGTTCATTTCTTGCATTTCTAAAGATACTTTATTCCTTTTTGCAAATGCCTGGCTGATCTCATGAAATGTCTTATTTTTTGTTTCAGGCAGGACAAAAAACAGGTAGGTAGCTCCCGTAAAGCAGATGGCAGCAAACACTAGGAAGCAGTAGGTCTGTAAACCACCCTGCGAATAGAAAAAAAAGGAGATGGTCATTAAAAGGGACAAAATTCAGAAGAAAAGCGACATCCGGAATGGTTTGAAAGAAAAAATGGGTGGTACAGAGCAATTTTTAGCGAAGTACAGTAAATCCTGGCATTCATTGCAAGTCAGAGTGCTTACAAGTTCATAAAAATGCCTGAATTGTTACTTCTCCCAACACTGCCTGCAGCCCCCGACAGAAAAGCAGGTTCCTGGCAGAGGAGTGCAGATTGGCAATCTGGGCGACGCTGGGAGACACCAGACTGAGCTCAGGCACCGCGGGTGCGAGGAGAGCAGGTGGCAGCAGGGCTCCTGCGACGTGCACGGCTTCACTGAGCCTTGCGCTGCCGCCGTATTTCTGGAAACGAGGCAGATGTTCCACCAGGTTGTTCTGCACGCTGCCTCACAATTTCTAGCTACAAAAAAGAGGCATGCTTTTGCAATACCGTGCACAACACATGGGAAACCTGCCATAGCCAGGGCCATCTGCATCACAGTAGTTACAAGCTTTGAGACTGGCAAAATAAACAAGGGAAAAAACCCAAATGGCAGACATTTGTATCATTTCTAAGGTTACAGGAACCTAAGCAGGAAAAAGTCCGTAAAACGCACTTCTTTCACGCTAGAAACTAGTGCAAGAATTAACCGAAAATGACAGGCCATATTTGAATGCTTTGGACTTTACTTCACTAAAAAAAAAAAAAAGTATAGACACAAATAAGTTAATTTATAAACTGATTATAAAGGCTCCAACCAACAAGTAGAAGTTGTGCTTCACTGAAATGGCAAGTATTTTTTGCCTGGTGATTATTACATCATTTAATGGCTTTCAGTTACATTTCAATAGTACAGTTTTGAAAAACATTTGATAACTACAATATTGCTAGCTGCACTTTGTTGAACTAGGAAAAGGTTTGGTATCGTGGCTCCAGTAAAGCCACTGACAGCCTTTGAGGAAACCTCCCTTCCTCCTCTATTGATTTACCTCACTCTGTCCCCCAAAATCAAACATCCAGTGAATCCATATTTTTAACTCGTTTGATATTAACAAGGCTGAATTAAACCAAAAGGGGTATCTCCAGCTCCAAAAATAAGGCAACCTTACTGTGGTGCCTTGCATGAGGTCATGAAGAGGGAATGAGAAGAGAAGCAGACACCTCACACATCACCCCAGGTGCTGCAAGGCAGAGGTTACCCCAGGGAAAATCACTCAGGACGGAGGAAGCAGACATGGCTTCCTATACACACATATTTACAATCACCATTAAAGGTATGTATCTACAACAATTAAGACAGAGATAGACAATGATGTAACCCTGACTTCCCACATTTTTCTAGTACACCCCCATTGTCGTTAGTTGTACCAGTCCTACACTGCTGGCTGGTTAAGCTCCCTGCTTTGGGGGCTCAGGGTGTACACAATTCCTAGGACTATTTTTATGCTTCACTTGCTCAGTATACATCATATATGGTGTGGAAGAAGAATGTGAATTTGTGTGTGGAACAAGAAAAAGAAAAAACCCTTTTCTGCAGCTGCTTTTTAACACCATGGCTGATTGCTAGTTCAATGTTTTCTGTGGATAATTCATTACTTAGTTCAGACCTACAATTCCTGTCTGTAATAGGAAAAACTGGAAAAGGCATCCTCTGATATTGACTATGGACTCTTGAGATCATCAATGCTTTTTTTGTTAAATCCTAGAAGCACAACCTCCTGAGCAACCTGACAAACCCAAGCCGCAGAGCGCAGGTGATGGGGGCGGGGGGGAATATTCTGGCATGGGAACAGATGTGACTTTCAAGCTCATACACTGTAGGCAGAAGCAAACGGATTTAGTAGACAGGAAAAAGTAACTTCGCAGTGCCTCATAAATCATCCTGTCAAGTTAATAATTCAGATTTTGCATCTGGATCTTCTGCATTTGAAATTGTTATTCAGCCGAATGGTAGAGCTCCAATTTGGAATCATATTTTCCCCTTTTTAAAAATCTTCACTGAACTAAATCTTCTCTGTGATGAAAATGAACCATTAATGCCTAGTATGAACAAGCCCAGCAATCAGATGCCACAACTTATCTGCATCTCTTGATGGTGCAACCACAACTTTGTCCCACCTTTCTTATTCCTGTTTATTTCTTTGTTGTCCATGATCTAAATCAGTGTTTATTATCTTCTTTGATTCATCTCTCCTTAAACCTTTTCTAATTGAACTGAACATCCTCATGACTGCACATTTTATTTGAAATTATTTTACATAATGCATTTACATTCACTGGTAATAAACTTCCTTAATTTCTGCAGATCCCTTTAGAAGTAGCCCCCAAGGATCTCCAACTGAAGTTCCACAGAGAATATAAAAACTAAATGTG